TCAAAGAGAACTTCACTATCCTATAATTCAACATTCACTTAAACTCCATTTTCAATGCTCAAGCTCACTTCATTCTCACTTGGCATTCATTTGCCTGTGAACCTCTGTAGAGAATTCGCAATATGAATACTAGCTCTCAAGTCTAACCACCAAGAATTCAAAGGCACATCTACTAAAGAAGACTCGAAACGAACTAAGACTAAGGGGCCTTTTAAGAGCCTTTAGCTTATATGATATATTTATCATCTTCATAACGTACAACACCACCTGTACTATCATATCTCATATTCATCAATTTATTCATCAGATCCCCAGTTTCAATTTTATCAAACTCAATAAATTTCTCTCCTATGGCATCCATGAAACTTTTGACATTTTCATTATCGGTGATGGCACCTAGAATGGAATCAGATATCGATCGCTTAATGATTTTCAAACAGAGTTTGTTGGCCCTTTCTACCTTTCACACTTGGCTACATATTCAATAATACTCTTATCTGTGGTTTTCTCAAGCTTTTTCTTCATTGCAAAGTCCAAGCCCAAAAGATCAAATGCTATTCTACATCTTGTTTCCATCTCACATAATTATTCACAGTCAAGGTTTCAATAACAGACAATTGATTCGAAAGAGATAAGGCATTATAAACTGTGGAAACATAAAATATCACACTCAATATCATCTAAACATAATGCATGCTATCAAACGGATGATAAAATATCCAACTAATTAATATGGGCTATTAATTAGGTAATCCGTAATTTAAATCAAAACTATATGAATTTCATTATGGTAAGAGCCTAGATGCATTATCATAAAGTCACATTTGGGCCGACAATACAACATGTTATAAGGTATTCTTAAAACACATCATTTAGCTAATTAACAAAGTTACTTTGATTATTCGAAACAGTAACACCTTTGGGTAGAAGGAAATTTCTAGAGCAAAGTAAGATTGCTAATCGCCTTATGCCATTTTTCTAGAAATATCACATATAATAATACCTTTGGGGCAAGATATTATATGCAATAAATCAAAATTGTTATGCAAAATATTTTTTTTTGTTGCAGAGAAAATCAAATAAATAACAATGAGTGTGCTACTTCAGCAGCTATCACCCATTTTTATTTTAAAATATTTCTCTCATAGTGGGAAAATAAGAATCGTCTCAAAACTCAGGAAAAATTCAATCACATAACAATAATTATACAACAAATCATAATTGTCAATCAATGAAAGGCAAAAGTTCATATGTGATTGAGAAACGAAATTGGCAACAAAATTTCAATATACATGAAAATTGAAATTTAAGCGCACAAATAATGTCAACATTTAAATGCATAAACATTTTAACGAAAAATCACAGAAGTCGTCAATTAAATTGTTATTATTTAACATATTTCATTCGGGTCAATTATTAAATAAAATTTTAATTGGGTTAAAATTGAAATATTGGGGTCAAAGTTTTTAAATCCAATTTCAAAATTGAAATTTAATCCTTTTTCGAAAATTGCCCTTTGACTCTTGGTTTGAAATTAAAAACCGGTCCTTCAATTTTTAAAATTGGATGCAGGTCCTCTCTTTAAAATTTCAATATGGCCCCAATTGCTAAATTGAAAATGAGGTGCCTCTAATTAGAGAAATTGCAATAGAGGCCCCCATCTCGAACCAAAACCATCAGAACCTTTTCTCAGGCGGCGCTTGACACGACCCGTCTCGAATCACCTTAATGGATCCGACATATGTCATGCGTCGATGGTAGATACCAACTAAGTGTCGGACCCACCACCAAGGCAACATTGACTTGTCTGATTAAAAAATATTTTTAACAAAATTTTGACAGAGTTTCCTCTAAAATATGAACTAAAACCACATAAACAATAACCAATTTTCCTCAAATCAATACCCATAATATAAATCAAGGTATGTCAGTCCTTCAAAATACAAACTATTCAAATTACAATTGAATGTGAAGCTCATATTTGGAATTATTCCAACACCATTTCAAAGCATCAAAAGTTAGAAAGATTATGGTCCAATCTATTCATTGATTCTGAATAGGTTAGCAGCATATATTCATGCGAAAAAAGGGCAAAACGAGCCAAAACCTATGAAAAATTTATTTAGTCGTCTCATTATCGACTTAAACCCTAATTAAGATTTACGCATAATTCTCGCCCCACATACTCGAAATTATCACATTATATCAAATAAAGCTCGTAAAGTGTAAAACGGCTCAAATTAATCACTTAACATAATTGGCCTAATCATAATGTCATTGTGAGCCATACATCTGACCCGTAAAATTTTACAATCGAATGTGAAGCTCATATTTGGAATTATTCCAACACCATTTCAAAGCATCAAAAGTTAGAAAGATTATGGTCCAATCTATTCATTGATTCTGAATAGGTTAGCAGCATATATTCATGCGAAAAAAGGGCAAAACGAGCCAAAACCTATGAAGTAATAACATCAATTGTTCTGTGAAGATACTTATCCATATTTAGGCATATGCTGGAAAATCCTTGCAAGGTTTTGAGCATAGACGAATCCCTCCCTAACACCAAACTTCCTGTACTAGTTTTGTGTTATGAATTAGGCTTTAATAACTTTTTCCGAAGAGAAATAATCCACGAGGAAGTCGAAAATAACCAAATTTTCTATAATGGAGAAGAAACATAGAAGGTTATCTTCACGACTCTCACACACTCAAAGCCGGTTCCCTAATCTCCTTTATCTAGTGTACAGTATATATGATTAGACTCCACGCAGTACAAGATTTTATACCCAATTAAGACGCATCAAATTGACATAAGTAGGAACAAAGAAGATACTGAAAGAAAGCCTAATATGAAATTCGATATCATATTCCAACTCTAGTACCTGCTCTGCCGATATTTTTAGATTTAAAGACTCCACAAAGACAAATTGATGAACATTGGCGGAGTCACATCAGTTTAGAATCAAAGGAGAAATCATTTATCCGAAGATGCTGAACCAGAGATCTCAGTTATACCAAAAAAGGCCAGTAATCCAGTATCTATTATTCCAAATCATAGAGCAATCTTTGCCAACTTGGTTTCTTCATTAACCATATTCAGTCACTCCTAACAACCATTTCTTAGAAAGCATTGCTAACATTTTCACATTATGTCCAGTCTTTTTTTTATTGATAAAAAGAGTTGATAAAGAAAGTTATCCTTAGCTGCAATTTACTGCAAAGGAAACAGTAGGCCATGTGTTACTTTGTGAAGGTTACATACTCTGTACCATGAGTCATAACAGAACACTAATTTGCCATTCTAAAAAAATATCCACATGATAGTTATTGAAAGAAAATTGCTCTTTCGAACATAGGCTGGATTAGGAGAGTCAATGAAACAGAATGTTGCAAGGTCAAGACTAACATTGACAAAATGATTCAATCTGTTTTTTGTTTCCTATTTTTTATACTGTCTGTTTATCATTTTCCAAGAGAAAATAGGTTATAAAACTCCTTTTTTCTCATTTTTGTTGATGGAACAACTTGAAACACAAGGGATCCTATCAAACATCAATCAACATGGAGACTGCAGGGGCCCTCAAGGTTCAAATTCAACATTTTTAAACATATTGCAACATGAGAAAAAATACCCCTCGGGACATAGTCCAATGGTGCAAAAGAGAAGACTCACGTCTTATTGGCAGTCGTAGTGTAGGAGTTCGATTCCTGAGACATGAAATTGGACTCCTTGTAGACGCAGTGTACAAACAGCTTTTGTCCCCTGACTTGTTGGGACACATCTTACGATTTAGCTCCCTCACAAAACTTTGGGGGTGGGACGATAAGGACCTTCAAAATTGGGGTTTAATCTTTTTAAACATCAATCAACGTGAGAAAAAAGGTTATCAGCTACAGAAAACTAGATTATTAACTTATAATTTATTTATTTTCAAAGAAAGTGAGTTACCTCACTGTTTCTGACATAATTATTACTTCTAGTAATCAATTCAAAATATGCTAAAATTTAGGCAAATGTGAAACAAAATAGTCTCACATATGCTAACATATTTAGAAATCGGATTTCTTGATTCTTCCATTTATAAATCTCGTTCATTACAATTTTATTGTCAATCCCGTCACCACACTGAGACACACCATTCTTCATCCCTGTTTCATCTCTACAACACCGAAACAAACAAATTTTAAGAGAGATTTGGAACTGCATTAGGTAATCTTTCAAAAGTTTTACATTGTATTTTAACAAATTCTTATTTCAGAGGATTATGCTTCTTGTATATAAAAATAATACATAAGTGAGTACATAAAATGATGTGAAAAAAAATATTAAATAAAAAAATTGATTATGTTTTAAACTAACAAATGATAGAATAACATGTGTCATTATGTAAATCATTATAAAAAACTTAGGCCCCGTTTGATATCCATTTTTTTAAAATGCATTTTTCTCTCTTTTCTTTTTAACCACACATTTTTTATTAAAATAATATTACATGTAAATAAATTTTTTTTTATTTTTCAACCACACATTTCCCATCAATTTACTATTCAAAAATGCATTTTTACATAAAAATACCTTCCAAACACCCTCTTAATGTACATGTAACAAGATTCATTTAAGAATGAGTCAATTTTGTTTTTTGTTCAAAAAATTTAGGCCCCATTTGGTATCCATTTTCATAAAAATGAGAATGAAAAATATAGTTGTTACGAGACCCACACAAAATATAGAAAGTCATATATGATGTTTTGATGTGATGTATAATATCATATTTTTCATTTTAATGAGAAAAGAATGAAAACCAAACAGGTGCTTAAATTATACATATATATTCAAGGCCTGTTTGGCTGTTTGTGCCCCTTTAAATAAGAAAAAGTATATTATGGAATAGTAATTGATGTTGAAATAAGTGATTAAAAAAGAAGAATTTTTTTAATTTATGTTTAATATTATTTTAATGAAGAATATGTGAAAAATGAGTACTATAAAAAAATTAATGTGATAGAATGATTGACAAACAAAGATTGAATATACAGAATATATAATAACTCTATGCACTGTAAAGATTCAGTAGTGCGGGGGTGCCACACTGCACCATCTAGATGCCACTACTCCTCAATTTGAATTCATAAAGACACGTGTACCATGAAGCATGCACCAAGTCTATGGTCATTGGTTGGAACATAAACTAGTGGATTTTAACCATAAACTAGTGGATTTTAACCGGGTCCCACAATTTTTCGTGCCGTCATCCCTTACGTCACTTCTCACATAATTCAATTGACCTAAAACTGGCTGCCCCCAAATCTTTGTATGGACCCACACCAATACTCTCTTCTTCGACGTACCTTTTGACTCGTTTGCTTCTCAACTTATACCAAACTAACCCTATTACTCCACCAAATACCAGAATTGCCCCAAAGAGCAACCCTAATCCTAAGCCTAACCAGGTATCCACCTTTTTCTTCCCTGGACCCTCCCGCAGCTTAAAATAACCCATCTTGGTCTCATCCCACACAGCTACTAGGGTTTGCATGGGATAATCTAGCATGTAGCAGAACCCAGATGAGTTACTGTACACCGCACCCCAACACGTACAGTTCAATTCACATGCACTTTCACATTGTGTTATGGACTCCATTTTCTTGTACCCCATTAGTTCTTTATACGGTAATTCTACCCCACTTCTTCGCAGTACTTTGTATTTGTTGTCATAGGCACGGCAGAGGTCAACGGATATGTGATTTTCTGACGAGACACACCCGCCGGAGACGGGCTCTGTCCGGTTGTCTAGGCAAGAACATCCCTTGCCTGGTTGACACAGACCATATGACCCGCATGGACTAGGCAATTCGCACGGTTCGGATATTGCTTGGTAATCCACGATCCAACTTGAACCGGCCCAGAAATACCCTTTGAGATTCCCATCCGGTTCGATACGGACCCGGCGGGTCCCCGATACGTTTTGCTGAAAACTGTTGAAGGATTGTACATCAACAGGAGTTGAACCCGTTTGGAACATACCCAAATACCCGTCTGACATGAGAATTATGTGTATGGGTCCTTGGCCCTTTACTATACGTGCCTTGGCCTCTAATGCTCTGTGCTTCAAATATATTTGACCTGGATCAGTACCCGGGTTGAACTTGGCGTATAACCCGATAAAATCGGATCCTAACCGCATAGAATAAAGGCCATTTGAAGAAACCAAAGTCATGGCACTAGTGAAATTTTGGTTCTCAACAAGCGTATCTGAGGGAAAATCAAAACTTTGCCACAAAACAGCGACGTCATCAAGCTTCTGGATTTGGAGATTCGAGGTGTTGGAGAGCCAAACACGGTCTCCATCCGTCTGAGTTGACCAAAGTACCCCTGTGTGAGGATCAGATAATACAAGGCTGCCATTGAAGAAGAGCTCCGTCGAGTGAGCCCATCTCGGTAAACGGGTCGTTCTGGCATACCATAGTTGTTCCGAAGACTGGATGTGGAGAACAGCTAAGTTGAGCTGGTTTTTATTGACTCGGAGGAAACCCAATGAGTAATTACCAGTAGAATCGCTGAGTAATGGCTGGAAAGAAGAAATGGAAGGATTCGGAGTGGCCTTGAAACCTTTAAGAAGCTCTTGTGGGACTGTGGAGGCCTCAGCAGCACTTGACCACCAATTGCTGATGCAAAGAACAAAGAAGCTGGTGAGTAGGAGGATCTGACTCCCTGAGTTTAAGTGGAATCCAGATCTATCCATTTTAAACTACTAACAATCACAAAATGCCATGAAAGTATAGATACACACAGGTGTGGGCATATATTTTACAACTATTATGAAGGGAAAGTCCCAGTATGTGATTTATAGGAGAAATCTTCTTACCCTTTTTAGGTTTTGATCACTAACTGGCTACACCAAGGGGATAAAATAATGTTAATATTGGATACCCAAGTGGGCAATTTCCTCATTTTATATGAAAAAGGAACTTCTATTATTATATTGCATGAGGAAATATATATATACATGCATTTATGCATAAAATAGAATCCTACATTTGCGACTTTACAATTGGAACTAACTTATGCAGTGCATAAGGGATTAGAGTTTATGATGAAATGGGACCATCGCAAGGCATAAAAATGTGGTTTTTGATTTCATGATAGCTTCGGATTTGTTCGTTTTTGACGAATTGCTAGTCTAATTCGATTGGAATCGAGCCAATGAATAAAACTCAGCGCCTTTGGCCTTGACGCAAGGCCAATTTTGGGCAAAATCCATCGTTTAGGCGTTTTCGCCTATATTTGACGGTGAAAGCGTAGAAGAAGCAACATAAGAGGAAGAGTTTGTGGTTGGTGATGTGGATTAGGCACTGGTGGTGAGAAAGAGTTTCCTGACTCCCTTGGAGAATAACATTGATTGGTTGCGTAACAATATCTTTCAATCGACATGTACTATTGGAGGGAAGGTATGTAAATTTGTTATTGATTCTGGTAGTTGCGAGAATGTGGTGGTTGAGGAGGTCGTTAAAAAATTGGGTTTCCAGACTGAGAAACATCCCAAACCGTACAAATTAGCCTGACTGAAGAGAGGCAACGATGTAGAAGTGTCTCAACGTGTTCGAATCAGCTTCTCGATTGGACCTTCCTACAAGGATCAGGTTTTATGTGATGTAGTAGATATGGATGTGTGTCATTTACTGTTAGGGAGGTCGTGGCAATTTGACAGGCACTCACTACATGATGGATATACCAACACGTACAGCTTTCTGTTTGGGGGAAAGAAAATCGTGTTACTACCGGATAAGGGTTCAGTACAAACAATTGGGAACAACGCCAATTTACTGACCAAAAAGAAATTCGAGACAGAGATGGAGGAGTCTAGGATAGTGTATGTGCTGGTGGGAAAGTTGATTAACAGTGAGCATGAAGTCCTTCTCGCAGTTCAGCCATTGCTGAAGGAGTTTCATGAAGTTTTCCCAGAAGAGCTTCCAGATGGATTACCACCACTGTGGGATATTCAGCATCAGATTGACTTGGCGCCTGGTGCTGCCCTGCCTAACCGAGCGCATTATAGAATGAGCCCCACTGGGCATGAGGAGTTGCGCAGGCAAGTTGAGGAGCTTTTAGCAAAAGGACACATCAGGGAGAGTCTTAGTCCTTGTGTTGTTCCTGCTCTTCTCACGCCGAAGAAGGATGGCACGTGGCGCATGTGCGTGGATAGTAGGGAGATTAATAAGATTACGTTGCATCACCGCTTTCCTATTCCTCGCCCGGATGTTTTGTTGGACCAGCTTACTGATGCTTGTGTGTTTAGCAAGTTTGATTTGAAGAGTGGGTACCATCAGATTCGAATCAGACATGGGGATGAGTGGAAGATAGCATTTAAGACGAGGGAAGGATTGTACAAGTGGTTAGTCATGCCCTTCGGCCTCTCAAATGCGCCCAGTACGTTCATGCAAATTATGAATTAGGCTCTTTGCCCATTCATCGGTAAATTTGTTATGGTCTACTTTGATGATATTTTAATTTATAGTGATAACGATGATGATCATGTCCAGCACCTTCGGGAAGTTCTTTCAGTTCTTCGGAGGAATAAATTCTATGCTGCAGTGAAGAAGTGTTCATTTCTTACTGATAGTGTGGTGTTCCTAGGTAGTGTGGTGTCGAAGGCGGGTTTAGCACTTGATACATCTAAAGTAGAGGCGATAAGTTAGTGGCCACAGCCTAAGACTGTCATTGAGGTGCGGAGTTTTCATGGCCTTACTTCCTTCTATCGCAAGTTCATACCACATTTCAGTAGTATCATGACACCAATTACAGATTGCATGAAGGATGGTAGGTTCCAGTGGAGTCACAAGGTAGAGTCGTCTTTCCAATTGATTAAGCAGAAGTTGACTACTGCTCCAATTTTAGTGTTACCTGACTTTACCCAAACATTTGAGCTACATTGTGATGCTTCAAAAGTGGGTATTGGTGGTGTGCTGAGTCAAAACAACCGCCCTGTTGCATATTTCAGTGAGAAGCTTTCTGGCTCAAAGTATTGGTATAGTACTTATGATGTGGAGTTCTATACAATAGTCCAAGCCGTTCGACATTGGCGTCACTATTTGCTCCATAAGGAGTTCATTTTATATACGGATCATGATGCCCTTAAACACCTTGGTACTCAAGATAAGGTATCTGCTCGACATGCCTCTTGGATTGCTTACTTACAGCAGTTCACTTTTGTGATCAAGCACAAGGCAGGTGCCCTTAACAAAATTGCAGATACCTTGAGTAGGCGCCAAACTCTCCTTACAGAAATGCGAGTGGAGGTTCCAGGTTTTGACAGTTTGTGTGACTTATATGTTACTGACCCATACTTTTCTCATGTTATTCAGAAGTTCCAGGAGGGTGTGCAGTCGGAGTTTGCATGGGTTGATAGTTTTCTTTTTCATGGCAATCAGTTGTGTATTCCAGAGGGCAGTTTGAGGTTGAAGATCATTCAAGAGTTGTATAATGAGGACCATGTGGGTCGTGACCGAACATTGCAACTTGTTGCTGCTTCTTACTTTTGGCCATCATTGCGCAAAGATGTCTGCAAGTTTGTAGAGCATTGTCGGGTTTGCCACTTGGCCAAGGGCAAGGCGACAAATGCGGGCCTGTATATGCCCCTGCCTATTCTAACCCAGGCTTGGACAGACGTGAGAATGGATTTCGTTGTGGGACTCTCCAGGACTCAACGTGGATTTGATTCGATCTTCGTAGTGGTTGATCAATTTTCAAAGATGGTACATTTCATCCCCTGCAAGAAGACTACAGATGCTGTCAATATGACCTTACTGTATTTTCGTGAGGTTTATCGCCTGCATGGACTACCTACATCTATTGTGTCTGATCGGGATACTCGTTTCCTCAACCACTTCTGGCGCAGCTTATGGCGCTCGGTGAATACACGGTTGGACTTCAGCGGTGCATATCACCCTCAGACAGATGGTCAAACAGAGGTTGTTAACCGTTCCTTGGGTGATTTATTACGTTGCCTGGTTGGTGATCACATCAAGTCTTGGGATCAGAAGTTATGTCAAGCAAAATTTGCTCACAATCATACTATTAATCGAAGTATAGGTTTTAGTCCATTCCAGGTGGTGTATGGCCTTGTTCCTCGTGGTCCTCTTGATCTGGTTCCAGTTTCCACTTCTGTTAAAATGAATGGTATGGCCGAAGACTTTATTCAGCAATTGCAGCAGGTTCACTCACAGGCTCATGATCAGTTGCAGGTTGCTGTCACTGAGTATAAGTGTGTTGCGGATCTTAAACGTCGACATGTTGAATTTGAGGTAGATGACTTTGTTTGGGCGGTGTTAACAAATGATCATGTTCCTGCTCATGAATACAACAAACTTACTGCGAAAAAGATTGGTCCATTGGAGGTCATTGAGAAGATCAATCCGAATGCTTACCGTTTGAAGTTGCCCAGCCATATTCGTACACTTGACGTGTTCAATATCAAGCATTTGGTGCCGTTTCGTGGTGATAATTCTGATGAGGATGAAGCTCCTTTCCCATCAAATTTGAGGGTGAATTTTTCCCACCTTGGGGAGAATGATGCAGTGCATAAGAGATTAGAGTTTATGATGAAATGGAACCGTCGCAATGCATAAAAGTGTGGTTTTTGATTTCATGATAACTTCGAGTTTGTTCGTTTTTTACGAATTGCTAGTCTAATTCAGTTGGAATCGAGCCAATGAGTAAAACTCAGCGCCTTTGGCCTTGATGCAAAGCCGATTTTGGGCAAAATTCCTCGTTTAGGCTTTTTGCTATTTATGGTAATTTTTGTTTTTGCAATATCTTTTTCTATAAAATTCGGATTTATATTCCTTTTGTTAGAGAATGATCCTGAAAATAAGAATTTTCCATCTTCGTAGTTATCTCATATTTTTCTATTTTTGAAAAAATATATTTTTATTCTATTTTTCGAATTTTGCTAGATTTTTTTTTCTATTTAAGGCGTTGTAAGCCCTTTGAGACGACAGTTCTTGAATTCAATAAAATTTTCCTTGAGTTTTCTCATTTTGTGATTGTTCATCTTCCTTATAATCTTCCGCTACGTCACTAACATTTCTATTAGAAAAGAAAAATGATTTTATTTTATTATTATTTTTATTTTTTTGTTGGTTAAATTGTGGCTTCCATGTTTGGTTTACAGGTAAAAAGTTTATGCCTTCTATTATATATTAGTAAAAATGTGTTGTCAAAATCATATGATTTAAAAAAAAAAAAATTATTGCGATTTCTATATAATTGTTTATTGTTTTATGGAAATATATAAAAGATTTTAAGATCACTGTGATATTTTTCTAGATTATTATAATTACTTTATATAATAATATACAGTCATTCAACTGAAAGAAAATATTTAATTATATTAATTTATAATTCTTTTAACAACTGTACATAACATAAATTAAATATTGACATCGTGAGTATCGCATGGCATTCTAGAACTGCACACATGAATTTGAAGTCAAAACATTTTGATGATGTTTGTGGCTATAAGTTGGGGGACCATATCTCATTTGCTGCGCCATTGCTCCTGCTTAATACCCTTTTTTTATTTTATTTTTTTATTTAAGCTATAAAAAGTCAACAGCAATAACGTTCGTTTTAAATTAATTATACAGCTTATTTTTGTTGCAAAATAATACTCTGCTATTGTAAACATTATTAACTAACTTAAAAATCCATAGATATTATTTTTAGAAAATAAAAGATGGAGCTCTTCAAATATATCAAAAAATAATAAACGACTTAAAAAAGTTCATTTCTTGTTATATTAAATATATATTAATTAATTGAAGTACATGATCGAAAAATAATCAAGTGGTTATTAGCATAGTATTCCAACTTAACCCCGAAAATAACATTGGTTCATGTTGTATCTTATTGACATAAATGAATTATTTTATCATTTTTTTAATAATCAATTTTCTCCTAAAAAAAATGAAGAAAATTTCTAAAGATAACTTTTAATTAATTATTGCGACAAGAAAGGATTCGTGAGTGAATAAATGGGTTGATGTTAACTTAGTCGTTGTGCATTAAATTAGGGTTTTGACTTTCCATATTTAAAGAGAAGCTCAAGTTGGGTAGCCAATAAAATTCCAACCAAGAAACAGCTTCTCCCAACTAGCACTCAATATTTCTATCAACTCCTAACAACTCTGCATAATTAATTATTGATTTTGACTTTAACTTTTATCAATTTTTTAACTAAATCATACGTGCTTAGCGTGCTTGGTCATGAGAAAGAGACTGGTCGACTCTTAAATGTTTACTTGAGTAAACGTTTTGATGAAGATGCAAAGTTTTAGGGTAAATAAAAGAATGCTCTTACTTTGATAGATGGATTGAGACTGAGGGTCGGAAATTGAACATGAAAGTTTCTAATTATCAATCCAGCTTTCTTATAGTCAAGTTTTGTGCAATCTTGTGTTTATAATCATTTTTCGTTTCTTGAATTGAGATACTACGTCAAGTAAAGTCTATATTCATATCAATCCCAAATCAACAATTTTAATATAGAAAGTGCTACATGTACATATTTTCTACATGATGGTGTTTATAATTACACGTGACGTTGGATCCAACTTTTAATTCAAATCTCGCGCTTACACATCAACAATCAAATGATTGTCACATTACATTATAGATATCATTATGTGAAATAATTATGTACAATTAGAATTTTTCTTCTAATATTTAAGTTAACTTTGTGAAAAATTAAAGAATCAACACAAGAAACATTTTCACCATCTAATGGATTCAGAGTTCAAGATTTTTCCATTAAACATCTACCAAATCTACCAAAAAGATTAGATTTTGATACTAGAAATCGAATCAAGAATTTTCAATACAAATTTATGAAGAAATTTGTAATTTCTTCACTCTCTCTCTCTAGCCTAACAAGTTCTACAAACACTGTTCACAACAGTAAACAAAAGATTTCTCTCTTTGTCTACGCCAAGTGTCCATCACAAAATCTGCTAAAGATTTACAGAGAAGAACCAAAGAGAATTGCATGCACAGTAATGTGTGTGAATAAGGATTACAACCACATATCAGCCACGTCTTCGGTCCGTTTGAACTATTTTACTAAGCCAAAAATGTCATTCCTCGAACACGTTTTTAATCAATTTTGGTCAATGGTTAATAAGTTAGGTACACTTAAACAATCTCAATTTCGCTGAACTACTGACCCAAGTCCAGTATCAAGAAGGATAAACCCATTCTACCAGATTTTTTACAAGTTATTCACAACAGGAGTGGACCCCATCCAATAAAAAATGCCCAAAAAATTACCCACCTCCTTGCATGTGAGTAATTTGTGGATGGAAAAAAACTTAAATAGGATGGTCGCACCCTATCAATGTGCGCCACCTCGGCAGGTGGACTACCACACACCCCCGAAGTGTGTGGGCCATCTGCATAGGTGATGTATCTGGGTTGGACGGTCGCATCACGTGGATGGTGCAACCGCCCCCACCCAAGTTTCTCTCGGTTGGGGGGCTGTTGAACCCTCACCTGGTAAAATAGCATAACCCAAATCCTAACTACTCTTGATTTGATTTGGTCGGTCGTACTTGTAAAAACAAAAATTTTTAAAGTCAATTTCCAAACTCAAAAGAACTAATTTGACAGTATAAATAATTAACAAAGCTACCTTAGCCCCTCTTTGTCATTATTTAAAAATTTAAATTGTTTGCTACAAGATTACACTCCACCATTTATTCACACAATAAAATATTATACACATAAGCCAATAAAATTTCCTCACTTTTTAATCGCACATTATCCAAAAAACACTACTCAGTAACTGATTTCCAAATACACTCTACCAAGCAAGCCCTTAATATTACACACTCGTAAAAATTTAGGATAGTTAAATAGTTTGTAAATTGATTCAAGTGAAGAATTTTATTACCAAGATCAAGGATTGTACTCAGTTGGAATTATGACCAATGCAATCATACCTTTCCGAACAATGTCTCTACTACAATAAAATTTTATATCAACATGATTTGTTCAATTATGTACATAATCTAACAATTTCATATCCATGCTGCTATGTATTCTACCTTCGTTGTAAATGAAGGCACAAGAAAAATCCTTGCTGCACATAATCATTCACAAATTATTTTACAGATTGGTGAGGTAACAAAAAGAAAGTAGAAGAGTTTATTTTTTTAGCCCTAGTTTGACCCCCATTTTAAATAATTTTTTGGGAATAACGCATTTTGAAATAGTAACTTCAAAAATAATGCATGCTTAAAAAAGAAAGAATTTTTTTTTTTTATTTACACGTAATATTATTTTATTGAATAATATTTAATTTGAAGGAAGAGAGAAATATATTAAAATCTCAATCGGGCCAAACAAGTTAGTTGACAAAATTATGATTCAATCATATCTCACGCATCATCTATTGATAAATAAATCTGTAAGTTGTTGTGTACATGTAACACAATCAGGGTCACAATCTTTTGTAAGCGACAACAATAACTGTGCCGTACCATTGGCTTTTAAATGACATTAGTAGTATATAACTCACGTTCGTTCTGGAGACAAGTCTAATGTCCGAAGAGATACACCTCAATATTTGTGGCAAAATCATTTAAAAGTCCGTAATATCCAATTGATCAAATCATCGCTCCTACAAATTAATCTCAAAAGAGTTGTCCCACATAAAACTTCACAGGGTATTAACCAAAATATCCAGTCACAATCACTTGTTTTATCACCAATTCGTGCCTCACAATTCACATTAACACGCTCCAAAAAGTCGATCAAGTCTGCTTCCAAGTTCGCTTTAGGTGTGAATCCAAGTGGTTCCCTGGGAGTTCGGGCATGTAATTCTTCCTGGTGCAAACATGAAAAAGAAAACATACTCCCTGTAAAGCAAAACTGGATCTCCAGAAAGGCAAAATAATGCTGGAAAAAGTGATTTTCCATTCATTTTCTCACGTACCTAAAAGTTCAAAAAATAAAGGCTGATATCACATACAATGAAAGCAAACAGTTGCATGGAAAATATTACATTCTAGCTACAATATAATTCAACTCGCTGCTTTATATCCAAATGAAGAAAAATAAGATTCAGAATCTAAACAGGACTCAAATATCCGGGTAATTTAAAGGAAAAATAAAACATCTATCTAAAATGAATTTCAATTTTTCTGCTGGAGGTTTCAGCCACAGATTTTCTCGAAATGAGTATATCTTTGTTAAATGACAGAAATGGCAATACCATGGAAACGTTATAGAATTACACAATCAAAAAATGAGAATCAATAATTAATCAGGAAAAGCAATATAAGCTATTAATAACAAGCTACAAAAAGAAAAGGGCCACAATTTTCTTGAGAGAAATAAGTCTCGTACATTGCAGGACTCGAATACAAGTCTCCAGGAAAGTAGGAACATTTTTAGCAGAGATCCCAATTTTTATGGAAGGTTATAGTGGCAAACAGGAAATTAGAAGGAAGAAGGATTTACAAGACAACTGAGAAGAAGAAACTATAGAGGAAAAACTGATTTGCTACCGTAATGATACATGGTTCCACCCCTTAGTGTTCTATGGACATCTAATTTGAAGAAACACGCAGCCAACAATGCTGGAATGAAACCAAATTTTTTCTTAGGAAGAACTTTAAACAAACACCAATACAAATGGAAAGGAACTAGAGAAACATATTATATATATATATATATATATATATATATATATATATATATATATTTCAGCTTAGAGTCCATGGAGGAAAAAAATTTGACTAGGTAAGTAGCTGCAAGCACTAGTTCACTACGCACATACATGGACAAAGATCTTGACACAGGCTCTGAATAGTGGACATACAAAAATTTGATTGTTTCTCTGTACCATACACCTGTGATGTCATTGGTTTCCACATCCAAACATCATGCATATTTTTCCTGCAAATGGATACAAGATGAGTCACCATGAGATTAGCTTGCAGAAATTAAGAATATTAGCAATAGCTCTATTATTAAAGCACAATATTGAACAATTTGTCTATGTTGAATACACCATTTTGATCACGACTATACACTAATGAACAAGATTGTTTAGCTTAATTTTTCTTCCTCAATTTTGTTGAGTATAATCCCCCCTACCAAACATTCCCTTAAGCTTCCTCTTTGATAGTTCCGATTTCCAAGTATTTGATAGGTAATTTCTTAATTAAAATAAATTTCGACTTCAAAACAATTCCCAGAGAAACAGAGTACACATCACAGTCACCACATTCGAGGATAATATTCTTTACTTCTACGATCCATAATAAATTACGGAGAATCCAAAAAAAAAAAAAATGAAGGAAAAAAAAAATGAAGAAGGAAAAAAAAAAAAAAGCTTATTAATATGCGCAGAGTTCTTTCGATTTCATTATAAAGACCAAACAAAACACAGAACTTGATTGTAACATCAAAACAGCCACACTAAAAATGGTTTTCATTCAAGCTAGCATATTATATGGATGTAAAAAAAGAATTTTTGACAAGTAGAGAGAGTTAAATCTTCATTCCAGTGTCTCTACCAACGATTGAGTTTTTGGTCCCCTGTGCTTTTCAACAATTAGAAAGTTAACTGCATACTTGATATGTAATACCAAGTCTCTAAGGTATGAAGATCATAGACAGTTTATAGAAAGTTAGCCAACACTGTCTACAAATTTGGCACGGGCCACATAACAAAACGTCTACCTGCCCACCCACCACCCAAAATAAATACAACGAAAAGAGAGAGAAATCTGGAATGCCTTTAAAACCTCTCACCAACAGAAGTGGAAAAAATCTATTCAAACTAACATGGAAAACAGGTGAATGAACTAGAACACTCAAATAAAATCTGCTAAAGGATTTAGAGATACAAATACATTCAATTATGCATTTCACTATTTACATGCACGTACAATAATTAACATTTATTTTCAAAGACTTGCATTTCTATCATATTTAGATTAAAATGGTGCAAATTAATTATACTTTATATGTTTTGGGGGCTATTCAATTAATCTAGGAGTAAATAAATTATTCAAGTTCATGTACACTTATTTATTTTCAAGATTATTAATTTAATCTATGATATAATTTTATTTTCCAAGTTCAGTTACACACCCTTTGTCTAAATTCTTTTTCAAGATCATGTGTATATAAATTATTATTTTTCTATATTCATTAATTCAAATTAATTAAATTTCATGTTCATGAATATATTTAGCTGTTCTCATGAGTGTTAGACGTAAGTGAATTAATCTCTCAACTATTTAAATTGTTTTCACAAATTGACGTTTACTGTGGAAGGGAAGGCTTTAAGAGATTTTCAAGCGTAATGAATGGTCCATTAAAGTGACGTTAGTTCAAAAGAGTTTGGTCGAATCTCAATCCAACAATGCAGGAAAATTTAATATTTTGTAATGATGAAATACTATAAATGAGCAATCTTTTTATATTACATTTGATACATAAAAATTAATTGTTAATACATAAATTTACACACCCATTAAATTTTTAGATACATGAATATGAATAAAATCATCTATAATAACTCTAGATACATGTAATTCAAAATTCATAAAGTGAAAATTCATTGAATCTAGGTTAATGTGAATGTCAGTTAAATGAAAATTAATAACCCAAATTTCATAAATGACAATAATTGTAGTATTTATTACATATCGAAAAACGAAAAGTAAGGTACTATTCAAATAATTGAATTGTAGAGGGTTAAAATCGTCCAAAAAATGATTCACCCTTGATGTGATATTTTAATATATTATATTATATTTTGTGTGTGTGTGTTATATATGATCACATAAAGGATGTAGTGAACTGACCAATAGTGGGTTCATTGCACTATAGGAACATAAAATAGGATTTAAATTCCAAAATCAATTACCACGCATGGTACTTACCAATTTGATATCCCCCGTCAGTCCTGAGTCACAAAAAGAAACTTCAGCAGCACAGTCAGCATGGACTATGATACCCATATCAGCACTGCCATGGGCATTTTCTGTTCCCCCATTTGGGGATGGGTTAGTCAAGTAAACAGCTCCTTTGAACATCCATTCGCCCCTTTCTTGATGGTAGAAGTCTTCAAACAGCTCACCACACAGAATACATGCACATTGACTTTCATCTGCAGGAACCAAAGGCTCACTGTTTTCCGAGTGCAATAGATCTGAGGTGCCATCAATGGGTTGAAGGGGAACAATTCCTGCAACCCAATCGTCTGAACTGGGGTACCATTTCCTTGAAATCTTATTCAAAGAATCCTGGCCAGGGGCCCTCAATGCATGCCATTCCATGTGTCTATCAAATTGTTCTTGGAGCCTGAGTCTCAGACCACACATGCTGCACTGATGAGGAAGGTCATCAAGAAGTTCAATGACCACAGCTGGATGCGATTGCCGAACTACATCAGGCTTAAACTCAAAACCAATGAGGCTTTTTCTCTTTGTTGTCATGGACTGAAGCAAACCATCAAAGATCTTAGTATCAGGCCCATGTGAAGATAGCTCATCTGCAGTATATGGAAAAGGTTTATCTATGGCAGCACCAGAAGAATCTGCAGTTGTACTACTGCTTATAGCCCCAGTATCTAGGTCCGGAGGTTGAGTTGGTATGCTGGTTGGAGCTAAAGATGGTGAATCTTTCTTGGATGCAGAGATCAAGCCTTTTGCAACCAAAGAGCTCAAAAGACTAGACACTGGATTAGAGGCAGGATTTATTGCACTTGGTTTCTCTTCTGAGCTACTACCTGCTAAAGATGATGACGGCGAACCAGGTAGCAGTGGTGGTCCTTGTACCTTTCCGTAAGAAAATGTATCAACCAATGTGCTTCCATGTAATGATGGCAAGGATGTTAAGTTGGTAGGAGGAGGTCCACTTGGAAGAGGCAGTTGTGCAACTACCTGTGCTGACACACCCTCGGCACCTTGAAAACTTGATTTACGCAAGTTACGCACACTAGAACTTATTTCACTCTTCACTACAGAAGCCAACGAAGTGCTGGTAATTGATTGTTCTGGAGAGTCAGAAGAAAGAGGATTTGGTTGGTAAAGTGATAACTTCCCTGTGGTAGAGCAGTTCTCAATACCTGAATTTTGTGGCAGCGACCGCTTCTGAGCTTCCCCATAACAGAGTTCAAGCTTTTTCTGTTGACTGGATGCAACATGTTTCCTCAGCTGAGGGGGCATTACAGTAGATAATGTCTGTGAACTTTGGTGCTGCAATCTATGTGAGCTAGCTAGATTGACATCCTGTGGTGACATAGACCCAGAATCCTGAGAAAACTGGTTACGTGGCCCTTTATTTCTTTGTCCTGAAAATTGAGACATTCTTGGATCTACAAGATGTGGGGCGGAGTTTTGTTCTTGATCAGCAAAATTGTGCGGTACTTGATTCGGATTGCATGCTGAGAGTGAAGGTGAAGGGGATCGCTGGTGCATTGGTGATTGGGATCCAGTCCCCAGAGTCTGTCGTGTTAATGATGGTGTGGACCCCGACTTAGCATTTGTAGAAAAGCTAAAGCTTGGTGCTCCACTAAGGCCTGGGCCCATCTGTGATTGGAAAGAAGTCCTGTCCAATGACTTTGCAGAGCTTGAAAATGGAACATGATATCCCTCACCTGATATATTTTTAACTGGGCCTGAAAGTCTCCTTTCTAGTGGATGTATCTCCTGCGTCAATGATGATGCCATTCGAGTCCGAGGAACTACCTGGCCTGGATTTTTAGTTAGAGAAACAGTGGATGTTTCATCATCAAACCTTGATCCAACGAAATGTCCACTTTGGGGCCTTTGGATATGGTTCTCAAAGTCCTGCACAACAAATATCCAAAATAAATTTGGTCAAATGGCTGGCACATTGACACGGTCCAGCAATATGACTACAAGAACCAAAAAAGAAAAAACTAAAATAAGCCTTATTGAATAAATTTGATGCCAGCTACAAAAATCCTTTCGCCCATTTGTTCCGTTCATTGCTACATTTACTTCTACTGGAAGATCCAAAACTAAATCAAACCATGTTACTTTAGGTCTCCCCCTCCCTCTATTATAATAGAAACAATCCCTAACCAAATTTGAACAAGCTGATATTTCGTGGTTTAACAATCCATTGAACCTCGATAAAACTTACCAATCTTTCAAATTCGTCAGGTATCCACAGATCTTTATCTGAGATATCAACAGCACCACTGTCTGTGGGTCTTGAGTTTATATCATCCCACGTATACTCCTCTTCCTCAGAGTTCTTCCAGTTCCTACCAATCCCACTGCTGCTTCTATTCCCAAAGTTTTTCTTTAGTTCTAGTGAGTCAGGACCTGTAGATTTATGGGCAGGATAGCTTCGAAATCTGTGCTCCATGTCAAAACCATTCTGTTGATCGATTATTTTCCCATTTACATCTCTACCAGATTCATATAGCAGCTTTCCATGTTGTTTAAGTTTTTCACTCGCTCTTCCAATACCCAAATGTGAATGCTTTGATGAATCAGAACCATAGTCAGAATCTCCTCCATATGTTGCACTTAAATTTTTGGCACAAGCAGGTTCATTTACTTGATCTTTACAAGGGCGCTGGATGTTCTGCAAGTTTAGAGTAATTTAGAACACCGATTGTGAAAGATTAAGAGCAAGACATTTCGATACTATATTTTTCCACATGCACCTTAACATATGGATCAGTCCATGTTCTTCCCGAATTAATACTGGTTCTCTCTGGTACGTCAACATCATCAGGTAAGTTCATCAAGGTTTTACTAGTGTCTCCGGCAGCTCCTCTCACCTTCATCACGTCAAGACAACATAAATTAAGAACAAAAAAGGATACACACAGGTTGTTTCTTAAGAAGGATAGAGCATATACCAAAGAACACATGAACTCCCCCCCCCCCTGCTGAGATAAGAAAACAAGTAACAATCCCCTGGATAAACAAATAACTCTTAAGAAAAAATAAAAACCAACTCAAAAACATCCACAAAAAAATTTGTAAATTGTATCGTGACTGAAAAGTTTAAGCAGGGTAATCAGTACATCAACCAAGTACAATAGCATGAGTATCTGGGAATGCAAGTATAGAAAAAGGTTTAAAGGAGGACCAGCTCCCGTTCCTGTTTAGGATCCACTTTTTAAATTCAATCATTAATTGAGATGATCTGACAGTACAATTCGCAGAACCATTGTCCATTCCGGAATGCTATTTCATCATTGAGGGAAGATATGAGGACTGAGCTGCCCCTATGAACAAGAACAACTGTTCAAACACGCTACTTAATAAAATTCTCCCATCTCAATTACTATGAAAGGACACCAACATCCCTTCAATTACTATGAAAAGACACCAACATCCCCGAACATATCCCAAACAGGCTGGCAATTTGAATTTCATGGTCATGCTAACAAACAAAATAATCCTGCAATTTGTTATCACACCTCTCATTTCACTTAAAAGACTTGGTCGCTAGTGATCTAGATCCAATTAGGTGCCAAATTCAGGAACGAATCATATTTTTTCTTAGAATTAATATTTGGAGCACTGACATCTAACATCGCATGCATCACATGGTCTCAAGGATATCTGCAGAAACTTGGGGTAACTAGGAACAAAGCTTATCAAATGTTAAAATGATACCAACAAAACTTCTCTAGGTGTGAGATGAAGAAATAAAAAAAAGATGAGCAGCTCTCAATGGAGCCAAGAATAATTATTGTGATAAGAAGGATGACAAGCCCCTTACACTGGATGACTGCTCAAGACGCTGCCTTGCCTCTAAATACTTGGGATTTACATGAATGCTGTGTCCAGGACGTTGAGCCTGTGAATCCGGCCTAGACGGTGTTGTTCCTGAAGATGAACCATTGACAGCAGTAGCAATTCCAAGCTCTTTTTCAATTATCTGAAGTGGCTGGGGAGGGAAGACTCCCTTCCACGTGCCAAAAAGATGCCGCATACCAGGATGGATTGAAGGATCAACCTGTCTATATGCCTTGCAGAAAACCTGAAAAATGAACTCAAAACAGATTATTATAGTTAAAATCAATTGGAATTAAAAGTTTGATTCTCTCAACTAGAAGCTCTTCCCTCCTCAAGAATGAGGGGATAATTATCAGCAAATCAAGTTAAGGGAGGTGAAACACATCTTTTACTTGCATATTCAACGCTGAAAAATATAATGATAAGACAGAAATAAATAGGCCTGTTTGGATAGCTTCAGCTACTGCTTTTTGTAGAAGAGCTTTCTAAGGATGCCACCTTAGGCAGCTCCTCCAAATTAATTGGACAAATAACTTCTGGAAAATTATCGACCCATGCCTAAAGACAGCTTTTGGCTTATCAAAAACCATGTCAAACAGGCCCATAGAAGAGCTACCAATGGAGTGATGATAAGATAGAGGCAAAGTATTTCTACAGGTGAAGACGTATCAAGTAACATGAGAAAGAGCAGATTATAAAAACCTGACCTCAGGTAATCTGGAAGCAAAGTGTTTAATATAATCCCTCCCTATATTCTTCACAATACTGTCTAATAGATAAAGAGATGGTAGCTTTTGCTCGCAAGGAACCTGTAAACAAATATCTAGGGTAAGACAAAATATGGATAAGAAAAATTTTGAAAACACTGTGTACCAGTGAAAGAAATAATAGGCTGCATAAAGCACCAGAAGGCAAGCAGGAAGGGCAACAAAAATAAAAAAAATAAAAAATAAAAAGAAAAAAAAGAGAGAAGAAGAAGACAGATTTCAATCTTTAAGATTGGATTGAATTAACAATTCAAAATGAAGACCAAACTGTAACCTACATAAAAGTTTTTCTGGAATTTATTAACCAAGGAAGAAAATAAGCTCTACCCGTCGACAGTTGGTAATCATCTAATGCTTAAAATTTTTGCTAATACAAAGTTCCATATCCAGGGAAAAGGATAACGCCACCCTTTACAACATCGAAATTGCTTGAGTTTGTATCATATCAGATCACACAACTAATTTTTGTTACATACGTAATCAATTGAGTAATCAACTCAAACATTCTTCAGTAAACACCTTGAGTATGTACCAGCAGCTTTACAATAATGGACATTCTCTTCAAGAAACCAGAAGAATGATTGGAAAGAATACAACAGAAGTTACATAGAAAATCAATGAAAAGATTACAAGAGGAAATTTTATATCTTACGAAGCCCAAAATCGACATTTAATTTACTTCTTCTGATGAAATGACAACATAGCTCAGAACTTCAGCTTCAAACATACAGCCCAAACATTGATGTCGGTAATAAAACTGTTCAACTAAAGAAAATACATATATAAGAGACGAGTCCCATACAACTCAATGTGCTAGTATTAACTCATTTTTGTAATCAACACATAAAAGCAGTGTGTAAAGTATTCCTCCTCCCCAACCCCTCTCTCCAAGGGGTTCAAAAAGATCCTCAAAAGAATAGAAAATATTACAAATTATCACAGATCATTTGTCCAAAATATAAACTCACACTGTCTATTACGTGTGAAACAGAAAAAGATGACCGTTTTAAGGCAACCACAACAAATGGTGCATCCAATAAATGAATAATCAATGCCATCACATTGACGATAAAATGCAATATCAATTATTATAAATTGAGAGTGAATTTCCAGCTTCCCACATCTTCACCATTCGCATATGATTAAGCAATTTGTTATTTGACTTATGCTATTGTGCTCGAAATAATGTTCTTTCAAATAGAATAATTCTCAGCCACACATCAATCTGTATGATTAAAAAGAATTTTCAATGAAGATAAACCACTTGCTATAAAACTTACACCCAGTACTTCTTCCCTTAACTATGGAAATCACATTCGCTGCAGCCCAATCTGCTATATGTTCCAGTTTTCTTTTCAATTTTTTCAATACACTTCTAGAAGTAAAATAATGAACTATTTTCTAGTAGCGTGAAAAAAAAAAAAAAAAAAGACTGAGATCACCTCGAGAATATTCGAACAGACAGTGTTTGCAATTGCCTTGGCCGCGTGCACATTTTCACCGGCAATAATAGTCAAGTTCGTAATTATGGGCTTCGAGTTAAAAGTCAGCTCAGCCAAGGCAGTCTTGTACTGGGTCACCAGCTCCTGATGCAGCTGCGGACTCTGTTGGTGATGGTAAGGCCCACGGACAGAATCACTGCTCTCCGAGTCTCGGTCCCTCTGGAATCTCGAGTCGCCTCCACCCCCAGAGAACGAAGACACAGGTCGTTGAATAAATCCGCCGCCAAGGCTAGTTCTGCCACGTCCATTAAAGCTACGATCGGGTGCGGCAGGGTCCTCAGTGAGCCTGGGTTTCTTCAGTCCCGGTTCTTTCGAAAGAGATCTGTCGAATGGTCTGCGTGTACTCTCCATGTCCTTTACAATTCACAAAAACCCTAACCCTAATTTCTCATTATTCATCACTAACCTACTAATACAGACTCCACGTCAAATTCGATTCAAACAAAACAAATCTATCACTCTACATGAAAAAAAAGGGAGAGACTCAACCTGAATTGATAAATACAAAAACAGTACAAGGAAAATCAAATTTCAACCAAACAATCGAAATCTCTATGTCTATACAACGAATTTCCAACTGTCAGAGAGAACTGACACAAAAACTGAGATTTCCTCAAGTTTCAATACAATTCGCCAATTTGAATTCTTGAGAGCGAGACTTGGAAAAAGATAGGGTTAGGGATGGGGGAGTGTGACGAGCACCTCTTGATTGTGTTGAATGTTTGCTTTAAAGACGGTGAGTGGAAAGGGAGAAGGGTCAAATATTCATTTGGGAAAGTAGGGAAGATTTACGAAATCATGGACCCCACTTGAATGAGCTGAGATAATGGGCTTCATGTGGGAAGATTTTGGGCTTTTCCTGTACGATCCAAATTAATTAAGCCCACAACTGTTTGTCTCGTCAAATCTCCTAACTTGTTCATATAATCAACAGATGCACAGTTTGTTATTTGGGACATTAATTTTTTTATACTTTATTGTTTTCAAATAACAAGCTATTACATAGAATAACTACTGCAATTGCCGAATAACATTACTCTTGAATTATATCTCAAATTTCCAAAAATTAATCACAAATCCTACATTTTTTGCATAGATGTATATAGACAATGTGCATTAATCAACATGAATATTAGTTCTAGTTAATGTGCATTAATCAAAATAAGCAATAGCTTATCCTCATTGAAGCCTCCTGAAGCACAACAGCTCTCAATTGTGAATCATGGAGAGATTGTTAAGTCACCGTCAAAAGTGCAAAGAACTTTGAAACGAGTTTGAGACGCGAATGCAAATCACCTTCAAAACAAAAAAGAAAGGGAAACAAGCAATTGTTCATGTTGATTAGTCCACATTGTCTATAACTACTATTCATGTTGATCATTGACGGACTCAGATGGAGTCATGTGGGGACAAATGACCCCACAATTTTATTTTACCCCACAATTTTATTTTATTTTTTTCTCTTCCGTCAGTTCACAATAGTTGCATAATTTATGGTTACTAAAGTTATATCTCTGAAAAAATTCCATGAATAAGTCTATCCAAATTGCAAGGATATCAAACTCACCATTTTCATCTTGATCTCTGCTTTTGTTCAATTTCTGCTATCCTTTTCCCAAATTCAACTCAAGTTTGGTTATTTCCTTTTTCTACAGCTGGATGTCCCTAATGTAAAATTTTGATTTCGTATTTCTGTGCACACAAGTGTATGTAAATATATACGTATACATATAGGTATATATTTTCCTGATGTTAACCCTTTGATTTCATATTTCTATACACGTCCATATAGATATATCTTGGTATGTAAGTTTTATTCATCTTATCCCTTTGGTTTCACGTCTCTACATGGATACACACACACACACACACACCCTTTTGGTATCAGAGCAATTAGGAAGTAGAAACTGGAACTAGATTTTAGGCTCTTAGAACTTACAGATATAAGAAATAAGAATAGATTAACTTATCAAGTAAAATATAGCAAAGATATTTGTGGTTACCTTGAAGAAGATAACATAGTAGGAACTTATAGTAAAGATTTAATTGAAATTTTAGAAATTTTAAAAGTCTTTAGATACTTACCTGTTGAAATAAGAGAAAATATAATTAAAAAGATATTAATTGAAGAACATAAACATATATATTTTTTAGAAAACATTTTTAGTGAATTAGAATTTATATTATATTAAACTGGAAACAAAAAGACAGTTTGATTATCTAGACTTAGATTTAAAAAATATCAATAAAAAAGTACAAACAGTAGATAATAATATAATTAAGTGTAATTTAGATAATAAGCATAAATTACATAGTTTATTTTCGGAAGATCAAAGTCGGAATTGTTTGATAGATTTAATTATATATTTATCAAAAAATTTAGAATCATAAAATAAAAAGATATTAAATTATTTAGAAATAATTAAAGATAATATTACTACTAGGGATCAAGAAATAAGAAATATAAAAGAATCATTAGATTATATTAAAAATCAAAATTCGAGTATTTTAGAAAAACTTGTTAAATTAGAAAAAGTACCATCTAAAATAGATTTAACAGAAATAAAAAGAATTTTAAATTTTAATAAATCTAAGGAAATAGAAATAACATCCACGTCAAGTGTAGAAAAAGATTTAAAAACTTTAACAAATACATTAGAAAATTTAAGTTTTAAAGAAATAGGAAAAGAGAAAGTAACTAGAAAATTACCTAAAGAGTGTAAATTTCCAAGATGAGTACAAATCATTTCTTAGGAAAATCTAGAACAATAAATGAAATTAATAGAAATAATGAAGAAGTGTCTACATCTAGAAGAAGTACGTCAAGTATAAGCAGAAATATAATAGAAAGAGTTTTGAATAGACCTATACAATATAATCAAAATATAGAAGAAATCATAGACCCTCAACAAGATTATTTAAGATTTCAGACTGATGGGTTAAGAATTCTTAACCCAGAAATATCATATAACAGAGGGATTTTTGAAATAAGAAAACAATTTTCTAGACATAGTAGAGAAATATCAGTTCAGTGTATAGGAAATCAAGTAAGAAAATTAAATTTAATATCAGAAGATTCTAAAAGAGAATTAAAAAAGAAAAATTTTAGATTTATGCATTTAGGATTAATAGTCATAGGAATAAAAGGATTAATGAGAAAAAATTTAGGATGTAAGGTTTTAGTTACTATATATGATGAAAGAATTAATAATATAGATAAGTGTATGATTGCTAGTACAGAAGTTAATATGAACAATAATAATGAAATAATCTATAGTAAACCAGATTTTTTATTAACAATTAAAGATTTTTCAGAGAAGATTAAAATAGGAATTCAAACTAAAGGATATGAAGAGGTAGAAGGTGGGGACAATTTATTAATTAGTATATGATTTTTAGGAAGATGTTCAAATAATTCCCAAACAAAATATAAAATTTACATAGATAAAGTAGTAAGTTTAATGAGTAGTAAAGGAATTAATATGGTTATACCTAAAGAATATTCATCAGAACAGTTAGCAGGATTAGAATGGGATATGGAGAAATTTTTAAAAAATCAAGAAACAATTGTAACACCACAAGAAGCGTTAACATATAAAGATATTCATGGAAGAACTAGTTTAAAATTTTTAAATTATAATCAAATACAAAGAGAAAATAATTTTGAAGAAGAATCTAATCTAGAAGAAGAACAAAATGAACCATATCAAGATCAAGTTCATATAGAGTTAATGGATGAAGAATCTGATAGAATAATTTATCCAAAAGAATTAGGAATGAATTTAGATAAAAAAGAATTATTAGAACTTGAAGATCAAATGTATATTAATAAGATGATAAAAGAATCAAAATACCTATATTATGACCAAAAACAGAATATAAGAATAGGAATTATTAAAAAAGATAATGATTCAGAAAATTCGGATTTAAGTTATACAAAAGAACTTATGGAAGATTCAAATACATATAGAACTTTTGGAGATAGTTCTTTTGATAAAAACTGCTATTATAAGGCTATTGAAAAAATGATGTTTTTCTTAATTAAACTTTAATCCTACTCAGTACCCTCCTTAGTTTTTTGTAATTTTTTCTAAGAATTCTCTATAAATCTTTTTTTTTCACCACCTAAGACATATAAACTTGAACCTGATTTTCCTTTTTAAGGTTACCCGTGGCACTCCCTTAAAAAATTCCTAGATTAATTTTTTCCCTTTCCCCAGCATTTCAGAAAATATCAAAAGGCTCACTCTGGCCAACAGTTTTCACCTATCTGGGTCACTTAAGATTAATCTAGAAACAGTTTGACTTCTGAAAATCAAGTTATGCTTTTATTATATACATAGGATGAAATCAAAACTAAACAAATATTTACTTGAAAAACATAAAAATATTTACTACAAAACAGAAACATAAATAATAAATCAGGGATTTATAAATTCATCTTAGAAATTTACAACTAAGGATTTCCCTAAAGTTCTGAATAAAAACTTTTAGAGAATTAAGGAATACCTTAAATATTAATAAGAGTATTCTATTGTACAATATTTTTGGATTGAAAATTTTTCTGGATGAGAGGTTTCAAAAGTTTTTTAGATAGCAGAGAGTACACATGTTGTAAACTTTTGCTTAAACCAAATGAAACTGTCCCTTTAAATAGAAAAATTTTTGGGAGCAAAAAGTCTATTCTATCCTTAATAGGAAATGCACTCACTTCACCGAGAAGCTTCTGGCAAATCAAATGTCTAACAAGTGTCTAAAATAATTTAAGGGGGAATATTTCTTTTGAAAAAATCCCGACATCTTTCTTAAAAATACATCAATAATGAAAACTTTTTCAAAAAGTTTACAGTAAAGATTCTTCAACTTTTCTTCTAGCAGACTTTGTCTTTTTCTGAATTATTGGAGATCTCATTATGTACTGAGATTATGGCGTGCCACTGATGAAAATGATATCCCACTATCTGAATTATTGTATCCTTCATTCTGTGGATCTTCGTCTGAAAGTCTGGAAAGACTGGCTTCATCTTTTTCCTTTTGATCTGGGCATTCTGCAATTTCTTTTTTTTCTCCATGGTTTTTTTTTTTTAAATTGTCTCAAATACTTGATTTACTGCTTCTTTAATTTGTTCTTTCAATTCTTCATCATTTTTCTTTTTCTTAATCTTTTTGAAGAAGTTCCTTATTCTTTTTTAGATTGTTTCTGAAATTTGTCAATTTTTTTAAAAATCTTTTCTAAGGAAACAGTATCTTGATTGGGGTCTTGTGCATCTTGGAAAAGTTCTTGGCTATCTTGAACAATTATTTTTCCTTTTTCTTCATTGAGCTAAATTTCTTGAGTTTGTAAAAGATCTGGGTTATTTAAAAAATGTTTTGGTGGACTATATTTAACTAAATACTCAAATTTCCCACTAGGTTGTCCTAAAAGATCCCAAATCTCTTTACCTTTGTCTGTAGCAGATTTATCAGTCTGCTGAGTCTGATTATTTGATTTAGTAGAGGAATCACCAGTCCCCTGAATCTGTTAAACTTTTGGTAAGTCCACAACCTTAAACGGATTTGATAAGTCTTTACCAGCTACCGTTTGGGCTGAACTAGTTATGGACTTCTTGGGCTCCATAGTACCTTTTGGATAATGGACTTTTAAATCCAAAATCTATTTTTCTAATTGGGCCACTTTCTTTTGGAGTTGGGCTATTTCTAATGAAAGGTTCTGGTTGGCTTCATTAATAACTTTATAATTTCTTT